ATTGCCAAAGGCAAAATATCACAAAAAAATAATTAAGTATGGACAGGAACCTTGACATTGCTAAGGCCAGGTTACTTGGTAGGTGAAAACATTAGCCTCAGAGTTGTTTTTATCCTGACACTGGTCAACTTTTCTGATACTAGAAACCAAACAAATCCTGACTGGTACCGAAACATAAGTTCTTCGTTTTGGGAGCATGAATATTTGTCATCTTCCTTTATTGTCCATTGCCTTCAAGGCTCTGTCAGTCACTATAACCCTCCAAAGCCTACCTTGTGTTTCAGAGCACAAACCCTGGATCCATTCTGCCTGGCTCAGTGAAGCAAGCTGCACTAATTTCTATAAAGAACTTGTTGAATTACCCCTACACTTCTTACATCCTAGAGACAAAATCTGTTCACATCTTTGATTTTTCTGTCAGTCCTCCAATTACCATCCCTTCTTGATTGCAAACATTTTAAACTTGTGCATATTTTCTGTATCTGCCAGGGTCTTGGCTATGACCTGAAGCCAACCTTGGATACCAGATCAGGCACAGCACCTGCAAATACAAAGTAGATACTGCCCATTGCTGTTTATCTCCTGACCCAAGTGTAATCTATGGTATGGGTTTTAGTTGTACATGACTAGCAAAGTTATAAACTTTGAGTAGTCCCTTGCATTACCTACCTCCAGTTTTTCCCCTTGGCACTGAACATGGACTAAATATGCACCTTGTTTTGCTTCTCTGATCTGTTAATTTCACCATTCCCTGGCCCAGCAAAATCCTCTCCACCCCACTATCTGGGCCATGCAGAAAACCATAACATGCCTGGTTGTGTGAAATAGTCTAAAGACCCAGATATGGGCTCAAATTCCTCCCATAGCAGATACCAAACAAAGAAAGGAGTAGCAAAGCAAGAAGAGGAGTAGAAAGACATTTTCCAGACCCTTGTGCGTGGAGATCACGGTATAACTTAGAATGCAGATGTTGGCTCCACCACTTACTAGCTATGTGATCTCCGAGAAGTTGGATAACCCCACTGTGCCTTAGTTTCTCATTAAAAAATGAGCAAGAGAGTACCTACTTCATAGAATGTAGCAAGCATCAGTCAAGCTGATACATCAAAAATGCTTAGCACATTATGTAGCATAGAATTGTTCAATAAAGATTAGCTGGTACTGTTAAGCTATAGAGGTAAATTGACAGGACCCTAGTGTCAAAGCCAGGGTCTTTTATGAAATTTTTCAAAGTGAAAAATGCATGCAAGTTGACAGCCTAGAAGAGGAATCAGGGAACACAAAAATATAACGTTGATAAGAATTGAGCTAGTCAAAATGCAAGGCTGAAAGCTAGATTTGTCAACTTATAGGAAATGGCTGGCAAGTGATCAAGTAACCTAATTTGGAAAAATAGTTAGACTAGAGACTGGAAACAAAAGTGACTAAAAGGAAATGAGGTTAGCTTAACATGGTAGTGAAGAACACTTCCTCGCTGCTCTATGTGTTTTCCCTGGGATGAACTCAGTTTAGGATTAGGAATTCAGTTGCCTCCGTAGAGAAACTGAACAGCTGCAATTCATTTTCAATTCCTGTCAAGGAAGTTGAATGCAAGAATCAGGAGCAGGAATGCAAGCTTGTGACGCTGAGGGGGGCCTTATTCTCCAGGGGGCCATGGAAATGAAGTAGATGCAGAGGCATCCAGGCTGAAATGTGAATTAAGAAATCCTCAATGGGGTGAGATAAATTGCCCCAAATATGAGTTTCCTCTCTTTCAACTTGGAACTGTCTAAGGTGCCATCTTGATTGTGTTGGCAGGATGCATAGGTCTGAGCCCACACAGGGACAGAGCTCCTGCTGTCTCCAGCTAACTGGCTTAGTGACTTTGAGTAATGCTTTTCCTTATGTGGGCTTCATTCGCCACCAACTCTGAAGTGGTTGAGTTGAGCTACTCATAAGCTTGTTCCAGCTTTATATGTACATGACATATGGCCATGCAGAAAAATAAATAACTGCTACTTTTTTAAGGACCCAATATATGAAGCCCCTTTCTCCTCTCATGCCCAAATTCAAAACCAAATTGAAATTAGATTCATATTTAAATTAAAGAATTAAAATTTTAGCTTCATTAGATAAAAATTTGATTGGAGAATACGGTTTACCTATATGGAGCTATGGGTTTTCCAGTATTGTACCTAAAATTAAAGTACAGAAGCACCTTGTCTTCATCCAGCTCCAACAGGCAGACCCTTTTTTCAAACCCTACGGCAGAAAGAAAAGCAGAACATGGTCCTGTGGGGGTAGATCTAAGGAGGATGGTGGAATCAGGTCACAGTGGTTCTCAAACTCAACTGGGTGTCAGAACTATCTGGTGGGCTTGTTAACACACAGAGGGCTGGGCCCACTCAAGAGTTTCTTGTTCAGTAGGTTAGGATGGATCTGAAGACTATGCACTCCTAATACATTATCCACTGCTTTGATTTGGTTGGTCCTGGAACCATATGGAGAATCTTTTATCTAAGCAAGTTATTCAGTAATTTCTCCCAAACCCACTAATCTGATTAAGTTCTTCTCCCTTGCTGGGGAAGAGAGGGTAGGAGGAAGGAGAAGATCCAGCATCTACAGAAACTCTGGTTGATGTCCCTCCATGTGGGGTGAGGAATGAGTACCCCCCACACACACACAGGCAATGAGCAGGAAGTCTTTTGTGGAACTGAATTCTACAGTACTTATTGATTTATTGACAAAAACTCTTTTAAATACTATTATAATTGTACTTGATTATCTCAGCTATAGTCACTGATAGTTCATTAGAATACTCATAATTATTAAGAATAGTTATACTACCTCTTAATTAAAAATAAAATTTAATCAATTTCAAAGTGCTAACCTACAATGAAAGAGCAGAATAAACACGTGGACCAAGAGAAGAATTCTTAACTTTAAAATTATGATAATGGTGAACTAGATATTATCATGGACCTTATACATATGCTATTGATTTAAATGATTTGCAATCATTAAAGACACATTGATGTCCTTACTATCTTTTTGTACCCTGCATGGTTGGAAAAGCTATACTAGATCAGGATTATGGTCCATCCTAGCCTTTTTTTTAGTTGAGTGGCCTTAGGCATATCACATCCCTTCTTGGATCCTCTTCCTTCCTCTTTCAAAAACTTAGAGATGATAATAGCTATAAACAACTGGAAAGTCTGTGGGCTTCCTGTCTTTCTCTGAACAGTCTTGAACAGTTTCTGTTATGGAATACTGCTGATTCATTTAGTGCCTATTGATGAAAAGCCCTTAAAATCAAGCAACTCATCTCATCAAATAAAACAGGAACAAAATCACAGATACTTAGAAAGGCAAAATGTTAAAATGCTGTCAATTTGGCCTTCTTTTTAGTCTAAATTGATTTGATTAAAGAAGAAGATAAGAGTCCCTCTCACCGCCAGGTCTGGGGAAGAGCTCCTTATGCTAATGAGACAGCTGGAAGGAGTTTAAATTTTTCTCTGGCTTTAGAATTTCTCTCAAAGTTGAAAAAGCTAAATCAAGTCAACCTGTATCATCATGAAACACTCAAAAGGAAATATTTCCATCACTCTGTTACTAAGAGAGCATTGCTTCTGTGCCTTCTTAAGTAATTATCTAGTGGGAGAATCTGAAATGGATAATAAGGAAACAGTCAGTGGGGCTGGAATAGAAATATAGTACATCTAGGGTTATTTTAACAATCCTTAATCAGCTAAGAGTGGGAGTTGGCTGAGACTTAGAATCCCATGCCCCAGACAGGAGCCAACTATGGAGTCCAGGCAGGGCATAGAGGTTCAGAAGTGTTAGTCAGAGTCCAGACCTGTGTGAAAAGATGACAGCAGGAAGGGATGGACATAACCCACAAGGAATTGAAAATGTAAGAGACAGAGAAAGAATAGCCAGAGTGATCCGAGTAGAACAATGATGCAAACAGATGTCAAGGAGTCTTTTCCCCCCATTCAGTTTATTGGTACATTTAAATAAACAGTACTGTTACATTCATCATTGGGATCTTGTGCCTTTACATGGTATGTCTTGGTTCTTATTTTTTCCCCTTACCCCTGCTCTACCTTCACCCTCTTCATTCTTCTCTATCCACAAAGACTTTGTTTCCATTTTTTTCTTTTTTCACATTTTTCCTTTGCCCTTCTTTCATTTCCCATCCCCTTTCCACTTGAGGAGTCTTAAGTTTCAGCAATAACCAATTAACATTATCCATTTCAGTGAGGAGTTCTGGTAAAGTAAAAACTAAAACTATGGCTGCTGGGTTAGTAATGAACACCTGGGTAGACCTCAGTGGGAAGGGAAGGAGGATGGGCTGGGGGAACGCTGCTGATTAAAATGAATTCATAAGTGATTATGAGATGAGGAAAGATGTGAATATAAATTCTGCAGGGATACATTTAACAGAGGTTGGCAGACTGCATGGATGTGATCAGAACCAGGCATAAAGAAGGAAACGATAGAGGAAAGATGAAGAAATGGATTCCCCAGGGTGAGAAGAAAATATCATGCAGGACACAGCATAAGATACAAAGGCTAAGGTTTCTACAGGGTTCTTTTAGGTAAATAAAAAGTTGTGGATCATTCAGGGACTTGTATTTGTGAATTAAACTACAAGCCTGAAAAAAGCAAAGTAAAAGTTCTCTTTTCCCTCTGGACTGATGTTTTGCATCTTTGGCACATTTTCTATTCAGTCTAAATATTTATGGAGACAGCTTTACTTGGAGTTGCACTCTCTCCTTGATGGGATGTTAACAACATGACAAAGAACCAGAGAGTAATGATGTTAGATGTAAGACGCATGTTAGGGAGGGTGGAAGTGCTGGCTCAAGTGTTCCAGGCACTGCATTTTCCAGAGAGAAGCTTGTGTAGAATCGGGATTAGGAGCAGGAAGGCATTCATCATAGAACACAGGAACATCTCAGAACATGGAATCAGAGTGACTCATCTGTTGCTAGCTTCAGTTTCCTCTATGCAGTGATGTCACCGTATAGTCAGTCATGCTGATCAGGAAAGAAACGATGGGACCGATCTCCATTTGACCACCATCTTCCCACCGGTGACTTACCCACTGTGTGATCTGGTCCTGGGTCTTCCTCTCCATCTCTTCTCCCAACAACTTTGAAAATCCCATTCTCACTCTCAGGCTTTTACTCACTCAAATACTCCTAGCTAGTTGTTGACTCAAGACACCACTCCCAATTTTTCCTCTGTCTTGGAAGCACTTATCATAGACATATACAGAGTTCTTCCTTCTCACTTCCTTTAGTTCTCTGATCAATAGACACCCCCTTAAAGAGGACTTCCCCGATCATCCATTCAAAAAATAAATCCTCAACACTGTATCATTCTCCTCACCTAGACCTTGTTATTCTCTATCCCTACTGCTTTTTCAAAAGATTTCTTTCATTATATAGGTTACATCTCTTATCAGACTGAGAAATTCTTTTACTTTCTTAATATGACATGCCTTAATATCTGGAAGAATATCTGACAGTGGTACATTAAATATTAAATATCGCCTGCATATGTGAAATCATTAATCAAATTAATTAATTTTCTAGGAAGCCCTCTCTGATTTTCCTGGCTGGGGTAAGTTCCCTCATCTCTACATTTTCCAGTTACATACCACTTATGATTTTATTGTGTATTAAAACGAGCTGTTCTCCTACATGGCTTTCTAACTTGTTCATAAGCTACTAAAGCTCATGAAACACAACTGCTTTATCTTTGTATCTTCAGTGTCTCTTTTATGATTGTTGTTCACAGGACTAAAAGGAACAAGCTTTACAGACCAAGTGCTGAGAATTACGAGCCAGAATGCAGTAGTGAAAAAAGGGGTAGATTCCTAAAATTTAAAATGACTCATCTAGAAGACAGAGATAGCGCTGCCATGCACTACATTATTTGAATTAACCAGCAAAATACACTCATTATCCACTCAGAGTAGTGGGCCTGGTCAGAGGAAGCATTCTGAACCGAGGCCCAACCAACCTCTGTTCTGGACCTGGCCTTTGTATGAGTCTGAGCAGGGCCCTTCCCTTCTCTTGGCCCCTCTCATTGGAGAAAGCCGGACCACTGTGTGCTTAAAGATCTCTCCAACCTGATACCACAAGATCCTATACATTTGGGCCAGGAGATAATACAAGAAGGGACGGAGCATTTTCCTTTATATTTCCTACTGCTGGCCTTTTAATCCAGGCTGAGGCTTCAGGACCAGAAGATTCTTTTGTAAACACCATTCTAACAGTTTGTATATCTCAAAAGCTGCTGCAGTTCCCACTGATTCCAACACAGGAGGAGACAACCTCTCTCCCCAGGCTCAAATTTTCCCTACGCTGCCTTGGTAGCTCTGAGAAAACTCTATTTGTGTTACCCAGGAAATCTCTCGAATGATTTCTTTTGCTAGAATCCCATGGTAAACATTCTTACAGATGACTTACTGCCTGTCACAACTTTCTGATGCTCCCTTTCCAGAAAGAATGCCTGTAGAATGAGGTCAGTTGCTTACTAACCATGATTTCCATTTTTTTCATCCCATTTGGTCTTTCTCTTCAGATGCTGAGCCACTGCCCATTGCTACATCAGTGGGTCATGTCCACCAGCTGTGAGAGCAAAATATTCCAGCAGTCCACAGCAGAGTCTAGAGGATCCAGGAGATGAAGAACAGACTCCAAATCTAATCAGAGGGCCAAAGGGTAAATTCCAAGTTAGTAAATCCAGTAACCATGGAGTGGAGTTAATGAGATGTTCTCAGACACGTTTCTAGCAGTTTTGGAAATGGACCAATATGCAAAGAGGCTTTCCCTCCGGTAAAGTACCTTCACTTATCAATGGCCCCATGAACCAGGAAGGTGTTTCATCTTGCTGTGCTTCAAAAGTGGTGGAGATAACTGAAAGAACTGAGCTAGGTATGCTGCAGATTATATCTAACACCCACCCGTGTGGTGGCAGCAGCTCCCTGTCTCCAGCTGCGTGGGAGCCTAAGTCAAGGGCCTTCCTGCAAACATCTTTCATTGTCCTCAGAAGGACCAATAGAAGATGTCTCGTGTAATCTCGGAATGGACACGCAAGCATATGTTTATAATCACTGCCTCATATTGTTGAGGCATGAATACATTTGCTAAACCACTTTGTCATTTCTCTCACATAGCTAAAGCGTGATGCATGATGGTTGCAGAAATAAGCATTTACACATTGAACTAAAACCTTTCAGTTAACCCCTTACTTAGAAAACTGCTCCTAATCTTACCACCTTATGATTTTTTCTAAAGTAACATTTCAGAAACGATATCAGAGAAGCACCATTCCATTCAATCCATTAGTCTTCTATTCAGTTATTCAACAGAGCTAGACAGAGTCCCTGGGAGAAGCGTAGGTTCTGAAGGTCTACTATCAAGTCTGAACCTCCACCTTTTCAGTAAGTCACCTAACCTCTCAGGTGCTCACTTTCCAAAATCATAAAATGTCCATAACAAAAGAATCTATCTCCTATGGTTATTGAGAGGATTAAGAGTCAATATGTATGATTAGATCCTGACACTGAGTAACATTCAATAGATATGAAGTATTACTTTTAGTAGTAGCAGTTGTATGGTATTAACGTATCATGGTAATGACAGCACTAATAGTATAATACTAGTACTCTAATAGTATGGCAGTAGTAGTATGATAGTACTAATAGCATAACCATACAGTGGTAATAGAGTGATAGCAACAGTTGTAGTGTATTAATAGCAATAGTGTAAGAATATAGGGGCAATAGCTGTGGAACTACTACAGTAGCAGTGCAGCAATGGTAATAATAGTACCATGCTAGTACAACACCAAGTAGAAGAAGTAATAGTGTCAAAGTGTGGCAGGATGGTAGTAAGAGTAGCAATATTTGACAAGCATCAGAAAAAGGCCTTTTCTTGCTCTCAAGGAGCTCCTAGGCTCCCCAAGATTCCTTGATTTTCTAATATGGAAGAAAGGTTTGAGAATAAGCTAGTGCATTTTTCACATTATACAGATGAGAAAACTAAAGTCAAGCAAAGTAAAGTGACCCACAAAAGACTAGCTGAAGAGTCAATGCCCGAGTGTAGCCTCAAAATCTGCTCCTGTGAATATCCACCATGCTCTTTCCACAGGACCATAGGGGCGTTTGTAACCACTGACAAATATCTTCTCACCGGTCACATGCTCACACCTGCTCACACCTGCTGCCCTCCAACCACACGAGACAGCGAACCTCCCAAACCTGTCATGATCCCAGCTACCTTTGTGGACACTTGGCCCATCTTAAGCATTCCTACTTGTCCACTTTTTAAAACTCATTTTCTTTTTAAAAAATGTCTCCAAAGCTTTCCTTTCATCTTAATTCCCAAGGTGTGGTAAGACAGCCCTCTTCTTCCCTCCCTTATTCTTTGCAACAAAGTTTGTCCTAGCATTACACAATTTACAATCCGTTATTTAGGTGCAGGCATTATTACAAGCACTTTACAAGTATTAATTCATTTAATATTCATAAGAATTCCATTGAAATTATTTTTAGTTAATTAATTTTATTGGTGTATTTAAGGTACCCAATGTAGTGACATTTATCATTGGAAATTTGAACCTTTACATAATCCATTTTGGTTCTTACTTTTCCCCACTCCTCTGCCCTCCCTTCAACCTGTCCACTCTTCCCTATCTACAAAGACTTTGTTTTCGTTTTTCCTTTCCTCATGTTAATTCCATTCCCATCTTTCTTTTCCCCTACCCTTCCCATTTCCCCTTACCCGTTGCACCTTTTCTTCCTATTTCACATTATCTCTTATACCAAATTCTCAAAAATGAACTTGTCTTCCCTGTTTTCTAGACTAAATGTCTGTTCCAAGAATAATTATTGAATAACCTCCATGTGTCTTGCATTAGGTATACACTTGTCAACAAAACAGCCTCACTGCTGTCCTCAAGAACCTCACAGTAGGTGAAAGAAGCCAACAAGAAAATGGCTGATCAAAATACCCAGTCATAGGTGATGTGACAGGAGGAGCTAGGAGAGCACACCTGGCAGGGACACAAAGGATATCAGAACTGCTTCCTGGGAATGTGACACCCAAATTTGGACAGGATGAGTGTGCTGGCTAGAGAGAGTGGAAAAAAATGTTTTAGAGTGGAGAGAGGTATATAAGCAAAAACAAGAGAGAACATAGGTAAGAAAAGTAGAGTTGCTGTGGCACTATCCAGTAGTGTCAAGATAGAAGAGCAGTCAAACATGGCCCCCAAAGTAGGCACAGTCACCAAGCTGGTGTGCTGCTGGCCGCATGACTCTGCTGGCTAGTATAAGAGACCTTGAGCTCCTTCAGGACATGGACTTTGTCTCATTTACTGCAATGTTCTGCACACCCAACGCAATGTCCAACACAGAGGAAATAGCAACTATTTGTCAAATAGTTGTAGGCAGGAACAGTGAACAAAGGGCTAACTTCTCTGAAGAAGCTCTCTTTTCTTCCTTGTTTCTTTTGGGGTGTGTGTGTGGTGGGGGGTGTTTGTGAGGGTAGGAGGAAGAGCTGTTATTTTAAAGGGATAATTTCATCCCTAAATGTTATAAGTACAACCACTCTGGGACTGACTCTGCCCAACACATAATCTATAGGGCTTTTAGTATAAAGATTGGCCCTAAGATTTTTCAGTTTATTGGATCTAAATATATGAGGATATATTTTTGGTGTTTTACTGATGGGAGAACAAAAAGATTCCAAACAATCATCTGTGCCCAAGTGATAAGGGAAACACCCAAAACAATAACAACATTGAAAGGAACTTTTTGAAAATACTCAAAGTATATAAATCATCCTGTCCATTCTGTCTTAATTGGAAACACAACATTTTTTAAAAGGGTTCATTTTTTCCTCCTTTGCTAGTATTTCATCACAGCTAGAAACTCATAATCCAGGGGAACATGGAATGTGAGGATCTTAGAGCGGGAGACTGGAAGGACTGAGCTCAGTGCACTACCTTTCATCCCGTTCCCCAGGCAAAACCACACTTCCAAGTGTGGGCTTCCAGAACCCCAGCGGAGACCTCTCATTCCAGTTGAGTTGTATGGATGAGACAGGGCTCCCCCAGGAAGCTGGCCAACAAAAATAACAAATACTTAAAGGATAGTATCATACCGAGCAAAGGGCCAAACCTCAAGTAACCCTCAGGGTCACAGTCTATGGACTATCAAAGACCTGACAGTCATGGTGCAACTCTCTGTGCCAGTGACACTACGTGGTTCACTGAGGCTACATTCCTGACCGCCACACCTGTGGGGAGAAGGGGCTCCGGGGCAGAAAGAGAAGCAATGCTGTGTTCATACAGATATGAATTCTAATACTGATTCAACCTATGCATGGTTTCTAGCTAAGATTCAAAATTCTTGCCTTGAAACTTAAAAAGAAAGCTGTCATTATAGAACTAAGTGAGGTTATATGTGTAAACAGTTCTTTACGTATCACATCAGCTTGTTAAATAGCAGTGCTTGTCTCTACCTCTGCTCATTGTCAACATATTAAGTATAATTGAATCTCCTTATTACTCAGTTCAAATGCCCCCAAATTTGTGCAAATCCCTTAACATGTTGGGTACTGAACACTGGTGAGGGCAGGAGCAATATCTGCTCTTGTCAAATGCACCTTACGGAAATGTTCTTGTTGATGTCTTCACTCATCAAAGCCTGCAACAGCCTTGATCTTTTGAAAATCAATATCCTCGTGGTCTAAGAGATAAGTTTGGGATCTGTCAGGGCTAAGAGCACATCTCAGGCTTATTAACTCTCCTGCACTCCAGTTGTGGGGTCCTGGAAGCATTATTTAGTCTCCAAGACCCAATTTCCTTAGCCACAAGGGAAGATAATATATCTACAGTAACTCACAAACTCATGTAGTGAAAATTGCCCAACAGAAAAGGTGCTCATTAAATTCATTCATTAATTCAATAGATATGCTAAAACATTGCCAGTGTACCAAGAGATTTTCTAGGAGTTGGTGATGCATCATAAAGTAAGCACTATCCTTGGTCTTAGGGAGCATTTATCCTGTAGAGGAGGCAGGCAATAAGCAGATAAGCAAATAGATTTCTCATGGGTAAGATGAGCACTATGACAAGAGTAAATGCAGATTACTTGGGGGCACAGTGGCAGGAGTGATGACTCTAGAAATAATCACCCAATTATTTTCCCCATGTGCTCACATTTTGAAACCCAGATCTCTCACTCCCTGATCACAATCCCCCAGCAAGGCTGAGTAAGGGGTTCCACTCTCTCGAATTGAGTCTCCTGACAGCCTTTCAATAAAGTTGTGACCAGCAGTAGAGGAGCACATGGTCATCGACAGGAGAGACAAAGTTGGGTGTTGCTGTGGAGATTTTTGGAGCCACACAGCTATGCCCTGTCTTCAGGCTCTTCATAGCCTACACTGCAGAGACGATTCTTGGGGGGAACAAAGTTTCCCCCCAAAGCAGCCACCCCTCAATAATGCTATCTTTGTTGTAGCAGAACATCAGTGGCCTTGTTCTGAGTTGGGTCCAAGCTGAGGGGAGAGAGGGGAATGGCCAGCTGTGAAAAGGTCAGTTTGTTTCCAATCCACTCATTCTTACAGTCTGAGAGGCTGGCTCCCCACCCTGGCTGAGCCTGTCAGGGACAGATGCCAAGTAGGGCACAGACTGAAAAAAACACCCCCCTGTTCCCACTGAAGTGGGAGCTGTCAGTCTTCTGAGTCTGTGGCATTAGCCTTCCCCAAGCTCTGTTGCTTTAGGAAGACATGGGTTGGGAGAACCGCGAGCAAAGACTTAAGTAAGTTCCAATCCAAAACTATAACTATTCAATGCCTCTATTTATCCATGCTTGAAAACACCTAGTGTTAACAGATGGAGGAAAGCTGGCAGCCCCATATATCACAGTTGAGAGTGTAAATTGGTATGACCCCTCCAGAGACCCACTTGGCAGTATCTGTGGAAATCGAAAATGCATACATCCTTTGTTGCTCCCAGTTCATTTCTGAGAATTTGTCCTTTACATAAATTCTCAGAAAAGCACCAAAGTGAATGCTCAAGGAAGATGTTCATTGCAGCATTATTTATAATAACAGAAGTCTGAAATCAACCAAACATTACATTATAGCTAAAAAGAATACAGTACATGTGGATGTGCGTAGAAAGAAGACTAAAAGAAAAGGAAGATAGTTTCCAATGTTGTGTGCATGGTAAAATCCACTTATTGTTTATAAGACTCATGCCTCCAACAGAATGCTTGTCTTGCTGTAACTCTTCTTTATTTCTCTGCCTCTTTCCACCTCAATCCCTAGGTTTGGTGATACTCACATGGCAAGAGGACCATGCAGTGCCCTATGGACTTGGAAGATAAACAAGCAAGGAGGAAACCAGCAAACCTGTTACTCTCCTCTGTGTTCTGGGGCCATAGTCATACATGCAGTAAGTTTCTTATACACCTTATGATTTTCCTTGACTTCCATATGAACGGGCAACTAAGACCATACTCAGTATTTTCTGGTTTTTTTGGTCTTTTCATAATAAAAGACCCATTTCGTCCATAGAGAACAGATGTAAAGGAAGTTAAAAGCCCCAAAAGAAAGAATGGCTCATATTTATATAAAAAGAATTTGCTCCTTTACAGCAGTAAAAATCCAAAAAAAAAAAATCCATTTATAAAGCTTTCCAGCAAGTTCTCAATGAGTAACAAATGTTGAAGAAAAAAATAAGTAAATATATTCATCCCGCCACTTATTTAGTGGTAGAATTTGGATGAAACTTGCTGATTTCATTGGGTCAGTTTTCTCTGTGGTTCAGGGACTATATGTCCCTGGACCAGCTCAGAAAGGTAAAATATGCAGAGTGTGGGTCTCCTGTGTCCCTGCTTCTCCTGATAAGCATAATTAATGAGTCATAGCACTTCCTACCCATCTCAGATGAGTACTGGAGCCCTTCTTGACCTCTACACAGTCACCAACAATCCAAGTTGCTCTAAGGGATGACACTTAATTGTTTTCTCCAGGCAAGGAGTTACCAGAAGTTCATTTTTTATTTAGTATTCTGTATCTATAATTCAAAAATTCATCTGATCCTCATAAGGTGGTGCACAACTGTAACCCAGAGCTCTAGGAATCCAAAGCAGGAGAATTGGAATTTGAAAATCCCAATTAGCAAGACCCTGCCTCAAAATAAGATAAGGGTTGGGGATGGAGCTCAGTGTGAAGGCTCTGTGTTCCATTCTCACTACCACGCGCGCACGCACACACACACACACACACACACACACACACACACACACACACACACAAATCATTTGACTCCCAGTTTGTTCATAAAGTCAATCTAAGTCAACCTAGAAGCTGAACCATAAGTTAGGTTTTCCTACTTTCATGTTTCAAAGACTGGCCCTTCTAAGTCTATGTGAACTTGCCTTCTGGCTGTTTTGCACATTATTACCTCATTGTTACCTATGCACCTTGCTGCTTCTCTGGGAATAATTAATCTAAGCCACATCAGTTGCTCATTTTTCAACTCTGGTACACTGTCCCTTCAGAGATATTCAAGGACTTTCCAAGACAGGCAGCTAGGAGAGACAGTTTTAAGGGACTTTTCACATCTTCTGAAACCTAAGGTAAGAATGACTTTCATAACTTTCTCCCTCTACAAGGAAAGCCATACCCCACATTTTGAGTTGCTCTGGTGGCAGTGGAGAGCAGTTAAACAGTGAACAAAAGCATAGTTCAAAGTTCCCTTGCAAGCATTGAAAAAGTGACTAATGACCTAGTAACAAGTATTTTGCAAATAGTGTGACTTTTAACATTGTCTCCCACCAAACTGAAGGGGAACCTAATTAAAGTATTGGTGGAGAAATTATTTAAAATGCTTTTTAAAATCGGGCATGATGGAACACGCCCATAATCCCAGCACTTAGGAGGTTGAGACAAGAGGATTGCCATGAGTTTGAAGCTGTTATTGGCTGCATAGTGAGTTCAAGTCTGGCCTGAACCAAGTCTGAGTTTCCTTGTTCATTCCAGCAACAATTTGGTCATTGGTCCCTACTGCTGGGCCCACCTTTTCCTGTGTAACCAATTCATTAACTTGCATTAGGAAATTGAAAGAATTTCAAGCCCTGGGTCTTTGCTGACTTTAATTGCAGAATATAATATTGATGTGTAAGCGCCAATGGCTTGTCTGAGATTCCCAAGCAAAGCAATAAATACTTGCATCATTTTTTGAATTCTTTTCCTTCTTTGATCTCATTTCCAGACTCCATTCTGAACAGTCTGCTGGGCAGGAATGGAGGTGAGAAGGAGGTGGAAGGAACCGAGTCATGTCATCTACACACTGCTGTGTAAGTTTTAAGCTGGACTACTTTCCACTGATTCATTCAGGAATCCTCAGCGAAGTCCTAGGTTAAGATCACAGACTACAAAATCCAGCAGGACACAGATGCTGCCCTTGAAGATCTGTTCACATTTTACTGAGGAAAAAATAAACCCAAGAAGTAATAGCTATGGATTTTGTGATAAGCAATATGTTCAAAAACCATCAAGGTGCTACAGGGGCAAAAGATGCTGACATTCGAACAGGGAGGAAGTAAGCAGTTAGGATGGTCCTAATAAATTACCTGCACACATTCTGACATGGAAGCAAATATGATGGTAATATTTTGGTGAATAGACATTAAACTGTGGCTCATGCAGATGATGGAATCAGCATTTGGTGGGTTTAGGCAGGAGATAATACTAAAGAAGCATGTTGGGCATGGGTTGAAAGGAACTTGAAAACTGTTTCTGTCTGTTCAGAGTGCTATGACAAAAGAGCAGAGAGAGAAACGGGGGGTAAACAATAGCAATTGATTCCTCAAAGTTCTAAAAGCAAGAAAGTCCAAAGTCAAGGCACCAGCAGATTGGGTACCTTGTGAGAGTTCATTTCCCTGTTTTTGATGGTGTCTTCCAGATGTTTTTTCACAGTTGGTGGAAGAGGCCAGGCAGCTTTTTGGAGCCTCTCTTATAAGGGCAATAACCCCATCTCTGAAGGATTTGCTCTCATGACTTAAATACCTCCCAAAGGCCCCATCTCCAAGCAATGTCAGTCATTACATTTCAACACACAAATTTGCAGAGGACACAAACACAAAAACTACAACAAAGCCTCACTTAGGCACTTGAGATTTGAACTTGATCCTCTGAGCAACAGGAAGGAGCATGACTAGATAAGAACTTGAAGATAGTTCTGGGAGATCAAGACAGGAGACAAGACAAAAATACCTACCCCAGCATTGGGTACAAAAAGATTCTCCAAAAAGCCTTAGTTAACCTCTCAACTCTTTTTATCTCAAAGAAAGCAATAATTCAAAAAATACAGTGCACCCAACAAGTAATGAGTAAAGAAGAAAGAGAAGAAATTAATAAAAATAAGGAACGAATAATTTATTTATTTTATCAATGTGTATCAGATGTCTGCTCCTTTCCATATGGTCCTCCACAGGTTTTGAGTAAAAATTTGTATGAACTATGATCTCCACTTTATTCATGTAGACTATGAATCAGAGATGGTAAGTAACTTATCCAAGTGTGCATAACTAACAAGAATTAGATTATTTACAAATCCACGGAATTTGACTTATACATAGTGTTAACTACAATACTATCTTCCTATAGATATTCTGACTACTATTTTACTGCTATGGACGGTGAAAATAAAAACACACCGAGACAGTAGGTAGCGGTCTCTACAGATAAACTTTGCCTCCTCCTTTCTGCACCCCAGGTGAAGGAGTATTTTATATATATGAGGGACCCCAAGTTGATATGAACAGAGCATCGGCACAGTCTCCTCCTGGGACCACACCCACAAAGGTGGTCACTATTGTTCCCATCTCTGAGCTAAGACAAGGCCCAAACAATGGTCACTCTTCACATTTCCTTTCTGACCTAAAAACCCAACTTAGTGAATGGTGTCACCATCTGTAGAGCATCACATCCAAGGTGCTGCTTCTCCCTACTCCATTCCTCACCTCCCATAAATTATGAAATCCCAGCAGACTTATCTTTAGTATCACCAGAACTTGCTCACATCCCTCTATTCCCTCATCTCTAGGTCTGGTCTAAGCCACCAGCTTCCCTGGTATAAATGAGTGGCATAAAGGACCAACTCTCATTGGTATCCCTAATTCTAGCCTGCCTTCTTAACACTGTTTCACACTGCAGCCAGGGTGATATTTCTAAAACATGCATCTCTTCTAGACTCCTTTGTTTATGTCTTGGAATGGCCTCCTATTACCTTCCTAAATAATTCAAAATGCTTCACCTAGCTCAAACCGTGCCAGTCTAGTTTGTCTCACTAGCGCAAGCCCCAGCCCTACTGCCATCCCCAGCCCTCATGCCAAGAAATTTTCTAGAATACAGCAAGCTGTATCCCAGATCCACATTCTGGTAGATGTAGATCCCTCTGCCTCATCCCATCTGGGCTTTATTCTTTTCATATCCCTAACTCTAAATCACATTCTAGATTTTTCTCAGGTATAACCCTCTCTAATATGCCTTTTCCCCACCTTGAACCACCACTGATTCCTAAGTCCTCTATTTTCCCTACCGTGGCACAAAACCCATTAAATTATAGTGGTTACTTTATTTATCTGATTCTTCTTTGGACCTGGGAGCCTCCTAAAAAGCAAGCCAACTGGTTCTTCTAAATCCTTCATTTCTCAACACCAGGCTCAAGACATAGCAAGTGATGGGAATGTGAATTAAATAAATGAATTTATATTCTCATTATCACTGTCACCTCATGAATGCTATATGAGTGTTCTCCTAACACACGCCATGTTGCTGCAGAAAAGATAATTACAAAAGTTAAAGGAACTTGAGAAGTTTCAGTAACGCACAAGGTCACCCAGCCTTCCTCTTCTAGGAATGGTAAAGGTAACTCCATCTCCCCCGTGAGATCAAAATCCTTGCAGCAAGAAAACCAAATCCTCTATCTCAAAGGAGTTACCAAATACTCCCTCTGCAACTTTAAAGGGCTGAGCCAGTTTTCTGACTATGGATGAGAACTGATGAAATTTTCGCACCTGCTTTCCCAAAACATAAGAGAATCCATTCCGCACTCTACAAAAGAAAAGCTCTTATAGTGTTTCCTTTTGGGGAAAGACTTTTCAAAGGAACGAGCCCCAAACTGCTAAATGAAAACCATCTCTCACTCTCCTCAACTTTCTCTCAACTTATATATAAGCTTAGAAGCAGATGTTTAAAGAGATTCTGAAATCAGGAATTCACCTAAAGAAGGACTGTGTTTCATACATTGTTTCATCAAGGGAAAGTGATGCTGGATTTGCTAAAGATCTAAAGAGAACAGGAAAGGAGGCAGAATACGGGGTGGTCTAGATGGCCAACCCCTACTCAGCCTGTGACACACAGCTGTTTGTGAGTGAAAGCTTTACAAATCTGATCCTGAAGGTTATCATGATGTCACTGAATATTCTATCATGATGAAGCCCGAAACAGTGCTTGTCATTTACCTTGTGGAATGAGCCTGTGATAGGACCTCAAGGTATTTAATCCCATATCTCTTTGGAATCACCACTGTTGAGCTTTCCTCGTATAATTTTTAATTAAAATAAGATTTGGATAGAAATTATTTTACTTGAGCTGAGAAAAGAAGGATTCCCAAAGATTGGCATAAAACTTATTATTTTCCTACCATATCCAGGGGTACAGTTACGCCAAGCAGAGTTAGATAAAGGCATAAAGTTTAAAACCCTTCAGGAGTTTAAAATAATGACTTATAACACTTCCCATAGTCATTTGAGAAGATTCCATGAAGTACAGATTATAAAACAACTATCTCAGTACCTGACACATAAAATCTTATAATAAATGTTACTCTCCTTGTTTTATAGTCTCATGAGAGAGACACATATGGAAGCAATTACACTGGATCCAGACAAGCAGGGTAATCAAGGAATAGAGATATAAGTAAAGTATAGAGAGTCCTTCTAAACTGTATATTGAGAAGTGATTTATCAAGCAAGTGGCATTTCTGGTGAGTATTGGAAGACACTATAGAATGGCATTTTAGATAGGATGAGGTGCCTAGCTTCTCAGAAGTGTGGGTAACTAAGGTGCAACATTTGAGTATGGAAAGAAGCATTTCCTGCCTCAGCTTATTATTAATGTGTCATTTGTTGACATTGTCAAATCTTTTCCATGTGACCCTGCTTCCTATCCAAGAACATATTACAAAGGCGCAACCAAAATTGTACTTCTCAGCACATCCTCGTTCTTTGTCTTTTCCACCAACAATGAAGGCAAGAGGATGTTCAGCCTCCGTACAGTGACTATACAATGACTCAGTCTTCTTCTCTGGAAAATGGAAACAACCATCCATTCCCCTGAAGATGGAGGGAGGAAGTACATCATTTTGTAGAGAGCCCTTGGCAAAAAAAGGAGTGGTATCTAAATAATTAATCAGTACCCACTTTGGCACACATCTTAGCTATGAAAGACTAGAACACATAGTAAAATCTGTATGTGGACCACAGCCTCACAAAGATTGTACTTAGTAGACTTCTCTAATCCAGAGGTAAATACATAGGCTACTTGTGGTGCCAAAATCACTATGTAGGAGCAGCAAATTCCCAATAGGGCCAACAGTGGGCTGCATCATTGTGTTTTGTGAAACTCTGTATTCCCAAAAGACATTGTCATTTGGGGTGAGATCAGAGACTCTGAATGAATGCTTCTTAGGACACAGTGCTTGTCATAATGTACTCCAGATGTACCTCTCCCCTACGGATCCCATGTCCATCTCTTTCAACTACCCAGCCCCCTTGAATTCTCTACCATACCCTGACCTGCCTTTGTGTATTTTGTATCTTCCACAAGAGCACCTTTCGCAAACTGCTTTGCTTTTCACATGTTTCAAAATCCATTTCAGAAATAAATCAGCTAATCCTCCCCACAGGCTGGGTTCAAGACTCATTATGCTGGATTTTAACTGTCCTGTTTCTTGTCTCTGTTTCATACTTTACTGTAAGAAGATACTGAAAGTTTAATTCTCTGGTTCCTAACATTGTATCTAGTATGCCTGGGACACCTGGAACTTGTGACAGGAAGTGATAACAGCAAGTGCACATTGAGGGAGACATGGAAGACATCCTCAGATGACAGATGGGAAGCTCCGGAAACTAAATTTGAAACTAGATTTGTTTCATCTGTTTGCTAAAAATCAGTGCCCTGAAGAGTCAAAGATACTCCATAACATAATAACCGGAAAGTCTTGAGTTAGCCTACTTTCTGCAAAAGATTAGCTCTCTCCTTACTAAAAACTAACTATATCACCTAACGAGAAGCATCTAACTCAGTTGTGAGGATCATATCCTTACAGAAAGTGTGACATGGGTTGGAATCCTGGCTTTTCCACTTGGTAGCTGTTGTCCTTAATCAGCCAGTTTTGCTGACCTTCCAATGTATCAGCTCTTAAGTGAAGATGTTCATCTATAAATCACTGCTTTAGAATTACATGAGACAATACTTGTTAAGCACATACCACAGCAGTGGGACTAATAAAGC